TAAAAAGTGTGCGGTCTACAACCCGGCCTTCAGTGTGGTTGTTAAACCCATGAACAACATTCTTAGAGATCGTTTCCACGTCAGCACGCAGAAATCGACTTCATTCCTCCTCACGGCTGCACCACCCTCTATTCTGCCAAATAACTTCTCCGCTTCCCCCTAAGTCGGACTCGACAAGAGAACTACGTGTCCCTTCTCATAAAAAACAACAGTTAACAGCTGCTGACATCTGCACCGTTTCAGAAAGCAGCACATGCCGATCACTCTCTATTAACAGCCACTTTCCACCCTTCTGGACACATCTCACAAGGACAGGCTCTTGGGGGGCTCTAGCCCAAACAACACAAGCCCCACACCTCCCCTGCCTGGCCCAGTGCTTGCTGGAGGGGTGGGGAGGGGCGAGGTCATGCAGGCCGACTTGTCCAGAAGAGTCAGCTCAAGGAAGGTGCTCACTGCTCCTTCTCTGTCCCTCCTCCTCTTCCCTCTCCTCCCCTCCCTCCTCCTCCCTCTTCCCTCTCCCTCCCCCGTCTCTGGAACAGGAGCTCCCAGGTGATGGCTTTACCCCTTCTGTGTTCTGTGCGTCCCCATATCTAGAACAGTGCCTGGCATGCAGTAGACACTCAATAAACGCTCCACATATCGGTGAGTGAACACACGGCATGAAGAAAGGGCTGTAAGGAGTGATCAGGGAGACCAGGCAGCCACAACCCCAAGGCCACACACTTGAACCACAGGGGGTCTGTAGGAATGACCCCCAGGAGGGCTCCCATCAAAACCAGCCTGACACAAGACTCTGGGCAGAAACCCTTGGGTTTTCTGGAGCACTCCGTGCAGAGGGAGACCCCCACCCCGAGCCCAGGGGGCAGCCTGTGGGGTCATTCCTCTGCACTGCCCCGCACATCACCCACTCCCTTCGAGATTCCTGGAGGTTAATGTGCGGCTCAGACCCCAGAGCTTATGAGTGACTTCCAGAAACATAGGGCAGGGTCCTGACGACACCCAGCAGCCCCTTTCACCAAGGTCATGGAAATCTGAAGCACTTGGATGCTCTGTCCAATCAGAAGGAGAGAATACTGATGCTGGAGGGGGTTTCCATTTAACTCGAGCTCTCCTTTCTTAATGAAAATACTTTCCGGGCTTACTAAAGGCAGCCCACATCATCTTGGAATGGCCCCGAGCCAGCACGGGCCAAGCCTACCCAGGACCGTGTGGCCAGCCCAGCCTCAAGGGACTCCACCGTCCCATCCAGGCGGGTATGGCCGGCCAACGCATCAGTTCCCCTGCTGAGGCACCCGTGGGGACACCTGACAAGAGACGGAAACAATTCTGGTTGTCACAACGAGGGGTGCTGCTCGCACCTAATGGATAGAAGTCAGGGGCACTGCTTAACACCCTTCGGAAACAAAGAATGAGGCGCTAATGACAGGCGTCAATAGTCCTGAGGTGCGGACACCTACATAACACGCCTCACGTCCTCCTCAACCCCTTCTTCATCCTACATCAAAACCCCCAGCCGATCTGGCCCTGTGTGACCACCACTCCCACCACCCACTCTCTCCTCGAGCCCCATGCCCCCAACAGGCCACCCTGCCTGATGTGTCCCAGGAGCGCGCCTCCCTGGCACGTCCGTGTCTGCCCAGTCTACACGTCTGTGCAGACTCCCGGGGCGCACAGCTGGCTTGGGCGGACACCCCCTGATGCCACGGTCAAGGCGGACATGAGCCATCCTGGTTTCCCCAGGACCATCCTAAACCTCTCATTAACAAGGGTCTATGCCCGCAGCCCCGGCGGAGAGGTCCTGGGGCACGGCGAGGGGCCTCGATGTGACCCCTGCAGACACCCAGCACGACAGCAGGCCCGTGCTCAGGGACCCAGGGCCCCCTTGCACAGAATCCTCCACAGGAACAGCAAAGAGATGAGACGCCCACGTGAGAGCCGTTTCCACAGGGAGCCTGAGTCTCCCCACCCCGCAGCCACCCTGCGGCCAAACCCGAGTTTGGACTAAAGCGTCATTTCCAAATACTCTGCAAACCTCTCCCATCAGGTGCGTTTGCTCTTCTGCGAGTTGGCGGTGCAAACGTTTATCCTCCAAGAGGGCCTCGGAAACAATGCGCGTCCGCGACAGAGTCAGGAGTCAGGATCACAAATAGTCCAGACCAGCCCTGAACCTCCGCAGGGGGTGGTGCGGGAGGGGCTCCGCCGAGCTTGACAAAGTGCAACATGCCTGTGCAAAGAGGCTGCTTTGGAAACACCTTTCCAGAAAAGACTCCAGTGTACCTTCCTCTCACGGAAGGTGAATTGCAGACCTTCTCGTCTACAACGTCATCAAGCGGAAAAAAAGTAAACTGACTGCCTGCTCTCTGCGTGGGAGGCCGACCCTACGACCTTATCAAGGGCCTGCTGTGTCCGGCTTCTGGCTGGCTTTGGCCAACGGGAGCCCAACAGGAGATCAGGGGGAGGGCAGGGCGAGCTGTCAGGACAGCCTCTGCGGAAGGTCACTGCTCCATGTAAGTGGCTTCTCTCCAGGTCTCTGTCTTTCTGGGCTCTGCCGTCCCCTTGTTCCTCCAGGCCTGAGGGGAGCCACGGCCACAGCCTCGCTGCGGCCACCAGTCCAGGGACCCACACTAGCCCTCGTGGATGCCCCACACCCTATTTTAGGGATAAGCCCTGCTGGGACCATCCTGTTTGAGGGTTCCCTGCTTCCTGCCTGATAAAAAGGCCCAGGCAGATTCCCAGGCCCCCACGCCCCCTGCAGACTTGGGGAGGGTCCGTGGGGGCCAGGGGGTTCCCACGCAGGCAACACAGAGCAGACCCGCCTGGGAGACACAGGAGGGAGGGCGTGTGAACCAGAGCGAGGGGCGGGACTCTCCACCATTCTACCCTCCCTGACGGCCCTGAATTATTCAGATGCATTGTCTTGTAAATGGAGTGCAGGTGAGGGGCCCGTGGCTGAGCCGCTGGGGAGACCTGTGGCCTGCAGGTGAGGCCTCACCGAGGACCACAGTCGGCAAGGACCACAAAACAAGAGGCCGGAGGGCAGAACAACCAGCCCCTAGGGTCCATTTTCTGGGTTGCCTTCACCCCTTATCCCGGGGGCGTCCTGCCTTGGGACGGGCAGCCCTCTCACCCCTGCAAACAAATGTGCCTACCCCTGGCCGTGGGCCACTCAGATCGTCGCTGCATCTGGAGAAGAGCCTCGGGCAGCGAGACAAAAAATACCCGCCCCCCCCCCCCCCCCCCCCCCACTAGACAGAGGTGCTTCATCTCTGCGAACACTTCCCCGACCGTGTGGCCGGCAAACCCCACAAAGGAGGCCTTAAGATAGAAGTGAAAACTGCTGGGTTCCCTCCATCGAATAACCTCGGGCAAGAGAGGAAACAGCTGAGCTCCAGGAAAGGCAAGGCCTAATCCTGGCGCTGAGGGTCTGGCTCAGCGGCTCATTGCTGCTGAAAGGCCGGCCTTGGGAACGGAAGGGGCGGGTTGCCGGGGACCCACCTCTGCGTGCCTCCTGGAGGGAGGCTCCTTCCTCCGGGACGTGCCGGGGGCTGCCTGGCTGTGGTGTTTACCAGCTGGCTGCCGGTGGGTGCTCCCTATGTGCGGGTGGCGGCCAGGGATGGTCCAGTAGGGCACGGGCAGGGGCAGCCAAGTCAGCGGTCCCGACCCCGCCCAACTGTGACACACTGTTGTTTGGGCCATCGGCAGATTCCAGAACTCGCTACGTGCAGGCACTCTTGATGGGGACACCACGGCTGGCAAAGCCTTCAGCCGGGTCTGGTGGGGGAGGTGTGTTCCCACACAGGCAGGAAAGAAAATGCACCAGGTACGTGGTCTTTGCTCCCCTGAGAGAAGCACGGGCTCTGGCGGGGGGGGGGTCCCCTCGGCCCACTCTGACCGGCTTGCACCCTTAGCTGGCGCTCAACCCAGGAGGACGCAGGAAAGCTACCCAGAGTACATGAATGGAGAAGCCAGGGGGCGTGTCTCTGTCCACCTGTCTGTCCTGCTGGCTGGAGCAGGTTCAAGCAGGCAGAAGCGTCCCTGGGCTAGGAGGGATCGTGCCCCGAGCTACGGGGACACAGAGGCCCGCGGGGCACAGCCCCGTCCTCGGGGGCTCCTGACCCCCCGGGACACAGGGGCACAAGTCTCATTATCTGTGCCCAAGAGGAGGCTGCTGTCTCTCGCCCACCCTCGGTGGGAGGCGCCCTGGAGTTTCCCAGGAAAGAGAAAAGCGGCTTGCAAACGCTACAGCCATGGAAAGTGGGGTAGTTCTGATGAAAGCGCTTAACACCCTCTTCCCTTACAAGCCAGGAAACGGCAAAATAAAACGAAGCCAAACTGCCCACACCTCCACAGCATCTCCTCCACCTTTCTGACGCTCGGGTTACATCCGGGTACGAACGGACAATCTTGGCTTTGGAGCTGCGTTTGAACGGCCTGCAATTTTAGCCACCGGAGCCACCGGCAATGACCCGAGCCAAAGCAGCTGCAATGAAGAAACTCTTTCCACGCCTCCCTCCACTGCAGGGGGACCTCTGGGGGTTCCCGAGTCTCCCCGACCCCAGCACGGGGCCTGGGGACACTTACACAGACCCTCAACAAACACTTCCTAAAGAACGTTTTCAGCCAGGATATACTTTTTAAATTTCGGAGTATAAATGACTTCAGACAGGGGCGCCCGGGTGGCTCAGTCGGTTCAGCGTCCGACTTCAGCCAGGTCACGATCTCGTGGTCCTTGAGTTCGAGCCCCGCGTCGGGCTCTGTGCTGACGGCTCAGAGCCTGGAGCCTGCTTCTGATTCTGTGTCTCCCTCTCTCTCTGACCCTCCCCCGTTCATGCTGTTTCTCTCTGTCCCAAAAATATAAATAAATGTTAAAAAAAAAAAATTAAACAATGAATGAATGAATGAATGACTTCAGACAGAAGAGCTGCTGGGGCCTGGCCACTGGTCGCCCAGGCTGGTGGGAAGCAGTGTGTGTGGGGGGGAGGGGGGGCACCCCGTCCTACCTTGTTGTAATATTGCACCTGCACCGAGTGCCAGCGCCCGTCACTCACGCCCCCCGGGACCTGCGGGGTCACCGTTGTGGTAGCCTCACCTGCGGGTGGGGGAGTCCAGAGAGAGCACAGGTTAGCGGGCCACAGACGAGACAGCCTGGATCGACGTTCTCTGCCAACAACGTGGGTGACGACGTGCTTCACGGCTCTTTAAATAGTTCCAATCTACAGATCAGATGCCCAACGGTTCCCCAATGTCTGGAACCCTGAGCCGGGCCTTCCGTCTTTTCGGCATCAAAAATGACACCGCCATGAACACCTTCGTGCATTCTGTATTATCCCCCCACAGGACAGATCCCCAACAGGACCAGGGCACGGGCAGGGAGCACACTTAAAGGTGCTGCAAAGGACAAGGGTAGTTTCAAGCGACAGAGTGCCCGTGAAGGGCTCAGAGAGCGGCTCCTTCCTGGGGAGGAGGCCCCACCTGCTGAGAAGGTGAGCTGCACCTGTTCGCCCACAATCTCCAGGGCGATGAAGTCGTGCTTCTCGTTGAAGCGGCCATTATAGAGCAGCAGGGCGTTCCTCTCTTGGGTGGCAAACCTGTGGGGCCAAGCAGAAGCAAGTCACAGGACGAATGGCCCCGCACCGAGGGGCCGCAGACGGCCTGGGGTCAGGGGAACGACGCGGCACGCCCAGCCGGCAGAGGGCGAGAGCGTGGGGACCAACTCAGGACAGACTCTCGTCCCCGGGAAACTCATTTTTCTCATCAGGAGTCAGCGACCCATGAAACCTGCTTGGCGATGTTCTTTTCTGGGAATAGCAAAGCAGATACCACAGAGGAATCTGGTTTCCACGGCCGGGACGACAGGAAAAGAGGACATCTGAACCGTGTCGTAGGAGGACGACGCAGCCACTGCACCAGTTAGAGGCGTGTGAACAGAAACACATGTGGTGCAAGGGCGCCTGGGGGGCTCAGTCGGGTGGGCGTCCGACTTTGGCTCGGGTCATGATCTCACGGGTGGTGAGTTCGAGCCCCGCGTCGGGCTCTGTGCTGACAGCCCGGAGCCTGGAGCCTGCTTCTGATTCTGTGCCTCCCTCTCTCTCTGCACCTCCCCTGCTTCCATTCTCTCTCTCTCTCAAAAATAAATAAACTTTAAAAAAAGAAGAAGAAAAAAAAAAAAGAAACACATGCGGTGCATGTTCTGTTACTGGAAACGTCCCTGTGCACGTTCCTGAAGGCAATACCACCCACGCAGGGAGGCTGGTGGTGATGACTGCCTCAGGGCCTTTGTCCCTAGTCTCCACCGCCATTTCCCTGCGCTCCCAAACACTACCCCCTCCCTGCCCCAGGGCCTTTGCACTTGCTGTCCGCCCCCCAACAACCTTCCCGGGCTCCGCAGATCTCTCAGGAGACACTGACTGCACTTTCTGTAAACTTCATTCCATCTACATGGTGCCCCCACCCGCTCAAATCTATGACATCACTTAGTCTATTTCTGAAGTTATGCTGTTTATTTATTTGTGTGTAAGAGCTATGATCTTTAAGGGAAGGAACTGCCTCTCACTCACTACTGCATCCTGGAGCCCCAAACAGGGTCTGGTCCATATAAGTGCTTAATAACGACGTGCTAATAAACAAACGAACGGATGAAAGCATGATTGGAAACCAGAGGGGTGAAACTGAACAGACCTGCCCGACTTCAGGCATCTGAAGAGTTAGAAACCACTTATTTGGGGCCGCCTGGGTGGCTCAGTCGGCTAGGCATCCAACCGTCGGTTTCGGCTCAGGTCATGATCTCATGGCTTCGTGGGTTCGAGCCCCGCTTGGGATTCCCTCCCTCTCTCCCTGCCCCTCCCCCACTTGCACTGTCTCTGTCTCTCAAAATAAATAAACATTAAAAAAAAAAAAAAACCCACGTATGTCAACAAGACGTAAACATTCTCAGAGATCTTTCAGCCAACCCCGGGGTCCCAAGAAGGCCAGCTCGACCAGACCTGGGGTGCCTCCCGACACCCTGGTTACAGAGAACCTAGAACGTCTCCTATAGGAACCTGGGAACTGTTTCCTGAGCGAGCTTGATGTCTGTCTCACCGGAGATTAAGTGGGGGAAATTATTTCCTCTGATTCAAGGTTGGATTATCTGTTTTCAAGCAGCAAGAGTGTCAGACCCTGCCTCGGGCATCTGACCTCAGCCTTTCCTTTGAGCTCCTTAAAACAAACAGGTCCCGTCCACATCTTGACCTCCCCCTCTGTTTACAACATCAGCAAGATCCAATGACACGATAGAGGAAACCCCCCGCACAGCAAAGGGGATGCTTTGGGTCTGCGGGGAAACAGGAAGAAGAAGTGTACGGATTACAGACAAGACGGAGACTCCTGGGTCACGCCTAATCCTTGCCGGGCAGGCGGCTCTGCCGTGGGCTTCTCCTTGGACCAAGGTGGGAGTCGGTACGAGGTGTTCGTGTCCAACGGCCCTGCATGCCCCCTGCCGCCCCGAGCTGGCACCCAGAGGTCTCCCGCTGGACACAGAGCCCTAACAAGAGACCCAGGGCCAAGGGGAAGGTCTGGACAGGGCAAGACAAGGAGGAAAGACCAGAAACAGAGACGGAGACGCGGTGAGGGGCCGGGGAAGAGGCCAAGAACACAGGATGGGGGCAGGGGGTGGAGGACGAGGAGGAAGGCGCCCCACTCCACCTTTCCCACGGGGTGTCCACCCCTGAAGCACGGCCCCCAGAGCGTAGCTGCTTTTCTGCTCAAGTTCTGGGAGGACTTCTCGGGATTTTTGCTTCCGAAGCCATTCCCTAAAAAACTCCTCACTGATTCAGCGGCGCCCTGACGCCCTGGCCGTGGCCACGCGTACGGCAAACTGCCCATAAATTGCTGGCAAACGGAATCAGCTAAAGACACCAAATCTGACAAGCAAGAGGACATCAATCACATTACGTTACCCGGACGTTAATCAAATGCTTCATTTCTCAGATTCTCCCTGAGTCTGGAGCCAACAGACTTCCTCTGTCGGTTTCTGGGCCTGCCCGCCTCCGGCACCGGCATTTCTGGTCCCCCTTCAGCTCAGCCTCCGACAGGGACCCCCCTCCCCGCAGCTCACTCGCTGCCGGTGGTCGCGACACAGCACGTGACTGAGGGCCATGGCTGCGCGGACGTCAAAGTCACAAGCCAAAATGCCTTTGATCGGGAGGGCGGATGCCCACAGGAGCATGATGTTTTAAACATCAAGCCACATGGGGCACAGAGTGGCTGGGGACCCCACGGCAGAGCCCCAGTTTGGAAGGCTGTGCCCCCATGGTGGGCCTTCTGGGTGCAGGTCTTACGGGCTGAGGACAGAGAGCCGGCATCCCGAGCGGGCAGAGAGCCAGGATCCAGGGCCCGGCACCCAGGGCCCAGCTCGGCAGTCGGCGTTGAGGGCCAGCTGCCCCAAACTCACGCCCCGTGTGGCAGGGGGCAGGCCCAACGGGACTCAGGCTGACTCCGGCCAAGCGGACAAATCCAGTGCCGTCACACCAGCTCACCAGGGAGAGAGGAAGAGGCCAAGGTGCTGGGGCCGGGGAAGGGAGAAGCCAAGCGGCCAAACAGGGGACAGGAGGACGAGGGCTCAAGGGGCTCGTAGGATGCGACAGGGTGAGAGGCGGGGGCAGAGGCCAAGGTGGGCCCTGAGCCTCAGGCAGCTCTGAAGAGAGGGGCTCCCGGGGGAGAGGTCGGGGAGCCTGAACCACATGTCCGGCGTCCCAGCCCTCCAGAGCTGGCTTTGCCCGGGATCTCCACATGATCGGGGAGCCTTTCCCAGCATGCATTTCTAGAGTCCCTCCCACTGGACTTGAAGATCCCTAAGGATGTGTCTAAAGTCTTTCTGAGTCACCCGTTACCCAGAGCATCTCTGGCATAACAGGTGCTCAACAAGCATGAGCTGAAGCAAACTGAGGGCACCGGCCCCAACCATGCTCACCGCTGGAAACACACCGTGCGGCCCTCGAGACGGCACAGGCCGGCTCCCAGCTCCTGCCCACAGGCCTGGCCTGCCCTGTGCCCACTGTGCTCACGGTCTTTCCCCCGAAGCAGCCAGCCCACACTGCCAGCTGCACCGGGCTCCACTGGGCTGGAGCCACGGCGGCACAGGCCTGGCCACTCACCACAAAGACCAGGCCTCACAGCGGACTCTTCTGGGCGGCAGCTCCCACCAGCGCCCCCCAGGGCCTGTCGGCTGCACTGCACCCCTCGCCTGGTGGTGGGCGGGGGGGGGGGGGGGGGGGGGGGCCCACG